GGGGGTGGGGGGGGGGGGGGGGGGAGCAAATAAGGATGAGGAGTGATCATATTTAAAGGTGCCCTAATGAGTATATACGGAATGCTGAAAGTTAGGAAGTGTTGTATGCTTGTTGGAATCGCTTTTAATGTCCTTGTCAAATATTAGTGATAGTGGGTTGTGCATGTCTGTTTGTTTGATTCTTCTTTAATATTCATTTCTATCATTTTCAGCCAAACCTGGAAGAGTTTTAGGACCAGTTTTATCATATGATGGTGACAGAAGCATCAAAGAAGTCACTGATGGAAGAGTATATCCCCAGAACTCTGTTGTCCAACCTCATGGCATGTCTCCACATTATCTGTTCAGAAGTAACTCTACACATCTAGAGAGGTGTGGGACAGAAGCAGAGAAGGACCGCTCTCAAGTTAAACCGCAACATGGCCAGTGCATGGCTGCCAAGTCGTCCGCTAGTATGAGTTTCGAGATGAGCACTAACCCATATTACCATACACAGGCAAGGGTAGCACAGTTGGGAGGTCAAATCGCCATGGATGCAAAACTACTACAGGCACAAACACAGTTTGGTGCAGTCGGTGCTGCAGCTGTTGCTGTTGCCGCTCACAGAGAGGTTGGCACTGTTCAGTATGGTCTAACCTAGTAGATACTATTGTTTGATGGTTCTTTGAATCAAGTGAGGACATCCCCCTTGCAGTGAGACAGTTCAAGATGTGCATTTTCCCTCAGATCAATCAGCATGGGAGATCTGAAGAGGGATCTGTTAACCCGGTAGATGAAAACCATTTATTAGTCGTTAGGGTCTCTAAATAGGTATTCTTTAGGTTCAGGTTGCCCTGTTGAGTTGGTATTTATGCCCCCTTGTATGTGTATATATATATATATATAGCCTATGCATCATTGATATTAATGAAGAAAAAAATTGTTCTTCTGACTTCCTTTCCTTAACTCTTCATATTTTATGCGTGATAGAAGAAAGATTCCAGAGAAAAAAGGAACTCATTTGAAACAATGAGCAACAAAAGAGAGCAAGAGATTGATAACATAAATATAAATGAACTAAAAGTGTATTTGCTTGCTAAAGACGGATCAACAAAGATGGTGTACACAGACTTTTCACCTCTGCGTTGGAAGTGAGAGGTGGTCTCACAGTTCAAATAGTATGGAAAAAGAAATAACAACAGTGAAGAAGCCATTGTGTGTGTGTGTGTGTATTTGGAGTACCATCCTTGTGCTTTTATTGATTGATACTCTCCAGAATTGATTCATCTTAAATGGGGAATCAGTAGAAGAAGATCCTACTGAGTGGATTTCAAATAAACAATTCAACTACTATCTGTTCATCCTGTTATGTAACAAAATATTTATACCTAAACTTATGGATGACCAATATTTCTTTGCTGGTGCGGAAATACTTGGATTGACAGTATATCCAGGCAAGTTTATGTACACCTCGCCTCGATGATAAGCACAGTTAAGCCAATGAAAACTCAGTATTTCACCTTTTCATTCATCATTTCTGAGGAAGAATTTTACTGCCTTATAACCTTATCACATGACTTTATGCATAGATGATTGAATATACAATATAATAAGAACATTTAATCATTAACATTAGATTTTACTGTTCAGATTTTGGCACATTTGCTTGTTAACAGTTTAGATCTGGCAATGGGATAATTCCTTCATAGATTGTGATCAAAGCTTTTGTTGGTAACTAAGTGATATTTCATAAACATAAACAAAAGAATCTCCAAGCCTTGAGAGTTTCACTTGTGTATAAAGTGAAACAAGCAAAGAGAAAAGAAACAAAAAAAATACTCTATTCCTAACTAAAAGTGAAACTAGCAAAGAGAAAAATGAAACTATTCATCTGTCACAATGATATCAAAGTCGCTAATGACCCACTCAGCAAGTTGATTGCTGCTAACATATATCTCAGTTCCCAAATCAATAGATGGCCAATGCCTCTCAGCTGGTTTAGTAAATGGATCCTGCAATATCACCCAAGAAACAATGTTACAATTCATCTAGGGGTTAATGCATTCTTATTTTTCAGGTACGTTACCTGTAGTTATCTTTTAGGCAGTCTAATAGTGTGTGGAGAAGTTAAACGCGTCAAAATATAGTCAAGTACCTGATAGAAGTAAAGTGATTGTGAGAGTCTCCCGACATCAAGTTCCCAAGTTCTTGGATCACCTATCCATCCTTCCCCTTTCTTAGTTGGATATCCATATTCACCCCAAACAGGGTGAGGCAGAATTTGAAGTATTTCCTGAGCTTGAGGGTTGCTATATTCATCACAGTGATTGAATGGTTCCTCAAGATACATTCCGTTGCCCGGGGAGCAATGCATATGATAAGCATCATAGGGAAATCTTGCCTCATCAGTACGATGAACTCGAGTTCCATTTGCAAAAGTATGGTAAATTGGGCACAACTTCAAATTCTCCTTGGGGTTGCACCCTGGTGATACAGTATGAATATCAGGATTGATGATCATTTCACTGTAACGCGTTACGTCTGTGGTGACATCCCCATCACAAGGCTGACCATTGTTCTTCCAGCAGCTACCTATGTCCATTAGATAGAATTGGCTTCTTGGACCACCTCCTTTTATCACATCTAGTGTGAACCTCACTTTGAAATTTGGTGACTTTGGAACCTAATTCCATATCAGCAAACAGAACATCAGATTGTATAACAAGAAAACTACTACTACTACTACAACAACAACTATGACTCAATCTCAATCAAGTTGAGGTCAGCTGGGATCGGCTATATGAATCTCATTATACATGTCGCTCCATTTAAGATCGTCTCTATGTGTGTATGTGTGTATTATACAGAACTTCTCTATATTTTGACAAGAGAAAGACTCCTGGCAAGCATTGGACCTAAAGTAAATGTACTAACATGACTAAAACATAATCACAGCTAATTGGTATCAGCCATTATACATCATTTTCCACCATTTTTCGCAACGTTTACATGGATTGTAGGTCTTATTCAAGATATTGTATAACAAGAATATGATAACGACGATTAGGAAGAGAAACTTACTATTTTTGACATGCCTCTTGTTTCATAATGATATCCACCAGAAAATCCAGTAGTTGCATCAGACCTCAAGTAAAGCATCAACCAAGGGTACTTTGATGAAGTCTTCAACACATGATGAAATTTCCAGCTTCCTTTTCCAAGAATCTTATGCCAAGTAACAGAGAAAAATGAAGTATCATTCCGAGTCTTCGCTGTACTCATATCAGCATCCAATTCCCATGTCCCATGAAACCCCCCCTTCAACTTAGTCACCTTTGGATGTTTCCTATGACTATGCTTCAACTTAGTCACCTTTGGATGTTTCCTATGACTATGCTTCAACTTAGTCACCTTTGGATGTTTCCTATGACTATGCTTCAACTTAGTCACCTTTGGATGTTTCCTATGACTATGCTTCAACTTAGTCACCTTTGGATGTTTCCTATGACTATGCTTCAACTTAGTCACCTTTGGATGTTTCCTATGACTATGCTTCAACTTAGTCACCTTTGGATGTTTCCTATGACTATGCTTCAACTTAGTCACCTTTGGATGTTTCCTATGACTATGCTTCAACTTAGTCACCTTTGGATGTTTCCTATGACTATGCTTCAACTTAGTCACCTTTGGATGTTTCCTATGACTATGCTTCAACTTAGTCACCTTTGGATGTTTCCTATGACTATGCTTCAACTTAGTCACCTTTGGATGTTTCCTATGACTATGCTTCAACTTAGTCACCTTTGGATGTTTCCTATGACTATGCTTCAACTTAGTCACCTTTGGATGTTTCCTATGACTATGCTTCAACTTAGTCACCTTTGGATGTTTCCTATGACTATGCTTCAACTTAGTCACCTTTGGATGTTTCCTATGACTATGCTTCAACTTAGTCACCTTTGGATGTTTCCTATGACTATGCTTCAACTTAGTCACCTTTGGATGTTTCCTATGACTATGCTTCAACTTAGTCACCTTTGGATGTTTCCTATGACTATGCTTCAACTTAGTCACCTTTGGATGTTTCCTATGACTATGCTTCAACTTAGTCACCTTTGGATGTTTCCTATGACTATGCTTCAACTTAGTCACCTTTGGATGTTTCCTATGACTATGCTTCAACTTAGTCACCTTTGGATGTTTCCTATGACTATGCTTCAACTTAGTCACCTTTGGATGTTTCCTATGACTATGTAATGTGCTATAATCATGGTATATCCTAGGCATATTCATGCAACCTTTCCCAAAACACGGAAATCGCGGTATTTGAGCAAATGGTTGAGATGGTATGCCATTTCTGGGACAAATTGCTGCTGTTGTGTCCATGTTGCCACTCTTGAGCATGATCATCCAAAAATTCCATGGTTTTGGCTCATCTTGAACTTTGCATTTGTATCCTAAGAACAATTCTTTCCAAGCTGCATACATATCCACATTCAGGTAGTATTGTCCTAAGCTTTTGGCATCATGTATACTTAGTTTGTTATCAAGCTCATTCACCAAGTGAACCAGCTTTGCTGCAAGATCAATATTTTTACTGTTACTGATTTCTATAAAGAAAATCAAAAGCATAATAACTTGCAACAGACAGCAAAAGAAAAGAGGTTAATATACTTTTTGACAGTATAATAAGTTCAATGTTAAGAATTCTAAAAGTCGAATCCATTAAATTAAATCCTGAATCCGCCTCTACCACAGTTCTAACTCGAAACCTTTAATTAAGGAACATTAACTGTATATTATTCTATGCCTCACACATCTAACACTCACATGAGCCACAAAATAGTTTTTTAACTAAAGGTGTTAGATTCGAGTTATGTGGGACCTTGACCATGCGAATACCGAACATCAGATGGAAAAGAAAAAGTAATATTGTATATTGACTTACTCCTATTATTTGATTTTTGGAGATCAAAACAATCAGCATGCCTAGGACTTCCCATATTGGGAGCTTCTTCATACACTTCATTACACTGATTCCATGCCTCTATAGCAACTCTTAAATTATCCCTTCTCATACCTGGATCTCCAATTGCTGATTTCACTTCGAAACTACATGATAATCTAGCAAAAAATACAACTAAAACTACTTGAAAAATCACCCAAAATCTCAAACGTGAAGCCATGTTGTTTTTCAATATTTTCATCATTGTTAAAATAAAAAAAAATACTAACCCCATTATATAAGGTTGGTAAAGTGTTTGATTTGGACAAGAAGTTAATTTGTAAGTTTTATCCAAATTGAGATTTCGTAAATATTGTCATATTATCTCAATGTTAGAATCCTTTATAGAGTCAAATAACAGTCTTCTCTTGTATGAAAAAAACAAGTACTAGTAATAATAATAACTGAGAAATTTCGAAGTATGATAAATACAAAAAAAAAGAAAAAAAGATTACAAATTTTAATTATCATAGAATACTATTGCCTATCAACTACTCTAATACTACCTAAAAACTAGGATTCTCTTTTTTGGTGCAACACATTGGAGCTCCGACTAAATTCGGATTGCTCACTTCAAAGCCCATTCACGACAATCCCAACAGAATTTTCCCCATACTCAGAACTCGTAGTCCACCACTACACCACAAACCATGTTGGTAAAAAATAGGATTCTCATTCTTCTCTTGGCACAATCTTGAACTTCCCAGTTTGTTGTTGCTGCAATACAAACCCAAAAATTATTGTTTACGCAAAAAATTAACTTTTATGACAGTAAAACACAACTACTAATTTTAAATACGAGATCATATACAGAAGAAGCAGATCCAAAATTTAAATTATATAGGTTCAAGAATCCAAGTTTTAAATACTTAAATACAAATCTAAGCTACAATTATAGCAACGAGTTCATTTAAATCCAATATTTTCTATAAGTAGCACAAATTTAT